GGATACAGCCCGGGATAGGGATACAGCCCGGGATAGGGATACAGCCTGGGATATAGACCGGGATATAGCCCGGGATAGGAATACAGCCCGGGATAGGGATATAGCCCGGGTTAGGGATACAGCCCAGGATACAGCCCGGGATAGGGATACAGCCCGGGATACAGCCCGGGATAGGGATACAGCCCCGGATACAGCCCGGGATAGGGATACAGTCTGGGATAGGGATACAGCCTGGTATAGGGGCTGGGATAGGGAGACAGCCCGGGATAGGGATACAGCCTGGCATACGGGCTGGGATAGGGATACAGCCCGGGAGCAGGATCCGGGCCGGGAAGTGTCATTGTCCCCGGGACAACTTGGCTGCAGGTCCCTCCCAGGGAATCCCATCCCGTTCCTTGCTGTGTGTGCGCCAGGGCTGGCTCTGACCGACTGAAAGGCACAGAATCAGAGGCTCCCAGACAGGGTGGGCTTCGGATACAGCCTGGTATAGGGGCTGGGATAGGGATACAGCCCGGGATAGGGATACAGCCTGGCATACGGGCTGGGATAGGGATACAGCCCGGGAGCAGGATCCGGGCCGGGAAGTGTCATTGTCCCCAGGACAACTTGGCTGCAGGTCCCTCCCAGGGAATCCCATCCCGTTCCTTGCTGTGTGTGCGCCAGGGCCGGCTCTGAACAACTGAAAGGCACAGAATCAGAGGCTCCCAGACCGGTTGGGCTTAGATAGAACCTTAAAGATAATAAATTCCAACCCCCCTGCATGGGCAGGGACACCTCCCACCAGCCCAGGCTGCTCCAAGCCCCATCCAACCTGCCCTTCAACACTGCCAGGGATGGGGCAGCCACAGCTTCCCTGGGCAACCTGGGCCAGGCTCTCACCACCCTCACACCAAAGACTTTCCTCCTAAATCTCCCCTCTTCCAGTTTTAATCCATCCCACCTCATCCCATCCCTCCCTGCCCTTGTCCCAAGTCCCTTCCCAGGAACCTTTTCAAGCCCCTCACGCTGTCACAACAGCCCAGTGTGCCAGAAAACCAGCTTGGAGATAAAACTGTAACTGTTTCGCCTACAGCCCAAGTCCCTGTTTTGTTTGTTGATCATTTGCAAGGCAAAAAAGGGGGGAAAAAAAGAAAGGTAAATACCATGGGTGGTTCAGGCAGTTCTGTACCAACTCTGTACAGAGCATTACTTATGCAGAATAAACCAAATCAAATGTCATTTAGGCAAAGGGAATGCATTTTACTAAGAAAATAGAAGACCAGAACACACATTTTCAATGGAGTTACAACATTATAAAGGAGAAAAAAAAAAACCCATCAGTTCAGGTTTAAATACAATCTCAGTCTCAGCTCAGACAGGGAGGGTCAAACTGTTCCCACAGCACTCCAGGAGACATTTCATTGGGTAAGGTAGATATGTTTCAGTTGGAAATAAATTTAAGTGGTGTTGACACTTCTTGACACCCTTCTGTGTCCGTGCAGACTTCAAAAGGACTTTTATTTTCATTAGAAAAACAACTGTTTAAAGGATGGGTAAATCCAAGGCAAAGGTACTCGGAGAGTTC